AAACTTATCTTAAGAGTACTATCACTGAATGGACATTATTCTCCCCAAACTAGAAATAGAACTGTATTGGACACTTGCCCAAGAGTCAGCAAGACATGGTGGATATGAAATTTGGGCCCATTTCTGAATTCTGGCATAGCTAACATGCTCTTCCTGTTCATACCACATATTCAGAGAAAAAGCAGAAGGGTCGATCAGACTCCAGCCTAAGGGCAATTTCCCCTTCCTTGCCAGATGGTAGGATGTTTCCATTTTCATCTATAATCTGGAATAAAAGAAAAATGTATGTCTTTCATTTTTATATAGAAAATGAAAAAACACTTCTTTTTGAACCAATCAGATGTTTTTTCTCAACCCACCTGTACATCATAGGGCACTACTCCTTTTCCCATGGAGCCTGGTTTAATTTCTTCTCCTTTGCGATTGGCACAAATTATTCCCTATGAAGAGGACATGTTTTATATAAATGTATAAATTCTGACAATGAAACTGAAGATTCAGTTTTGGGGGCCGAGAAGATGGCTAAGTCAATAAAGTGCTTGTCATCAAACTTGAGGGCCTGAGTTTTGATCCCCAGCACTTAGGCCAAAAGCCAAGTGTGGTGGTTATGAGATGTAAGCCCAGTGCTAGGGAGGTGGAGACAGGTGGATCTCTTGGCTCACTGGCAAGCCAGGCTAACCTAATTGGTGAGTGCTATGTCCAGTGAGAGAACTTGTCTCAAAAAAAATGATAGTGGAGGGGCTGGAGTGATAGTGTTTAACTGCACCCATAGGCAGGCAGGCAGGCACACACGCATGCCATCTCTGTGCATCAGAGTCACCAGGTGCACAGTTAAAACACAAATGGCTGAGCCTCATCCCCATAGTTCTGATTCATTGGTGTTGGGTAGGATCTGAGAATATGCATTCTACCACATTTCACTATGGCCTCCACACTGCTGTTTTGAGGACCATACATCTTTCTTATTGTTGTTGTCTGGACTTTTGAGACAAGGTCTAAAGGTCTTATTATGTTATAATGGAGGCTAGCTTTAGACTCATGATATAGCTGAGGCTACTCTTGAATATGTGGTCCCTTCGCCTTGGTTGCCTGTGTACTAGAATT